CTCTCACTCTCTCACTCTCTCACACACACACACACACACACGCACACACACGTAAACAAACACACACCCTCATGTTGCTGTGTGTAAAACCATGTATCTGCCATTTTCTTTAGGAGACACAAAAAGTGAAAACACGGCCAACTGGCTGACAGCAAAAAGCGGTCGGAAGAAACGCTGTCCATACACCAAACATCAGACACTGGAGCTGGAGAAGGAGTTCCTCTTCAACATGTACCTGACCCGAGAGCGCCGCCTAGAGATCAGTAAAAGCGTCCACCTGACGGACAGACAGGTTAAAATCTGGTTCCAGAACCGCAGGATGAAACTGAAGAAAATGACGCGGGAAAACCGGATCCGGGAGCTCACCTCCAACTACGGATTTTCATGATGAACGAGGTGATCACATTGAAATAGAAGAAATTTTGGCGAAATCAAAGACGCCCTATCTTCCTCACCACTTTGTCCACATAATGACTTATTTCACTGTGGGGTATAACTTTCTTTTATTTCCAGACTAAGCTTTAAAGTCAATGCATCGTCCTCTGTGAGCTACTGAGAAAAGAAAAGGAAAAAAATAGAATGTTATTGGTTCTATTTGATTGTTTTCTGATGTCGTGTTTCTGTATTGTCGACCTGTTTCTGTCACTTCTGTCGTATGGTTGGATAGTGTCAGTGGAGTTAAATTACCACACTTAAAAAAAACACATTATGTCCTGGAAGGTGGCTTCAATTGTCCAATTATCCCCCCCACCACTAGCAAATAATCTTTTTTATAAATTTAATCAAACAAATATGAATTTACTTTATTTTAATTGGAATTGCATGGTTTAAAGATTTTCTTTTAGCAATTTTAACCCACCGTGGAATAATGCCCATATATCACCAGGGGAAGAATAATTCACCTATGACCATTAGATGTAGTCTACCATGATATAGGCCTCTTCTATGTATGAGCTAAATGTATAAATTGAATCTTTATTCACATTGAGGACGTTTGCGCGAAAACGGTGCGCAAAGTGAAGGAGGAATGTTTTTATTGTATATTTCTGTGTACATATGACATTGTGTTTTTGTGTAATGCTTAATAAATTATCAGCTCGCATTGAGGAGTAGCTGCTTGTATTTTTGTACTGTAGGTTTACACATACATATTTAATCAGTGTGTATCATACAGACGCAGAAAAAAGGCATTGTTTGAAATTCAAAATCCAAAATAATATGGGTTGTCCTGCTGCAGGTTCATTAGTTTTTTGTGAACCACCTTAGAAATGTTTCTAGAGGCTATTGTAATGGCCGTCGGAAATAATTAAGATATTAGGCTATAAGCCGTCTAGCTGCATGCCCAGCCGGCTATTGTAGAGTTTTATGACTGGCTGGTATATGAGGTTTCTCCCTCTCCTCTAAGAGCAGCTTCAGTCGTGGGAGAGCCTTTCAGACGGAGAGGAGGCCCGGCACTCAGCTACAAATCTTAACTGTACAGATACACTGTGGATAAAACGTTACGTTCTGCTTTAGTTTGGGAATACTGGGATTAACATTTCCAGGATCGGGTAAGTCATTTATCAATGTGCATTTGTCCATTTTGCGCCTTGTTGCAGGGGCTTCACTATAGTGTGTACAATACAGTTGTACTTTCTCAATACAGACGATTTGTTGGACACTTGATGACTGGACCGGCGACCACGGTGCATTATGAATTGGCTGATTGTGTTTCACTCGAGGCCCGGATCGACTGTCGTGTGGTTTAGGTAGTTTCATGTTGTTGGGGTCCATTTCTAACTCTGCAACATGAAACTGTCTTAATTGCCCCAGTTACACACATCGACACCAAAAGGAAAGCAAATCAGGGACATAAAGATGGTGGGATTTGATGACATTTGTGGAGTGGTGTTTTGGAAGCATGTTGTAAACCTCCCTGGTTCATATATCGGGGAAGGGGGTGACTGGCTGTTGTGTATATTCCTAACCTGTCTCCTGTAATCGTTTCTTTAGCCTTCTCCGCTTGTTTTTTCGGCGTTAAAATAAGCCCGAGCGAGCGTGTGCTGAATATAAACACGATCAAAGCTGAGCTGCAGTATATGCGTCGTGGACTTGGGATTAAGGAAAAGCTGCGAGTGTTTTCCGTGAGTAGTAGTGACGCAGTCACGCCAGACAAGGCCTCGGTTACGACCACTGCAGTGGAGGGGAAGGGGAAGGTGAATGGGGCAACAGCGACCTCCGTGGGCAATGAGACCGGATGCTTCCGCTGCGCAATAGTGGCTCAGACAAAAGGAGGGGAAGGGCTTTATGGCGATATTTAGATCCGCCAGACAGGCTGTTATCTGCAGAGGCAAAAGAAGTGAATAGCCCCTGCGGTAAACTGGGTGAAAAAACACCCTGATTTAGGTTTACAGCCTGAGAGCCATTGGCATAGTGGCGTCTTTTCCTGCTCTGGAGGTGTTTGTCTATTCTAACTTTTAGTGCACAAATAGGCGCACAGCCACTCCATTTCCCCCTCCCATGCTTGTTTGATGTCTGTTGGCCAAATAATGTGCAAGTACCAGTGAGGTGATAGCTTGGAACTACAATGTACATTATGGACAGCTTGTGTCTTTTTTCCTTTGCTCCTCTTCTAAGTGCAAGAGTAACAGCAGAGTGGAAAGAATTCCTGCGTGTTGAATTGCCTGTGGCCTTGTGGGGTGTTGGCCAAGCTTTCCGTTTATTTGCTGGTAATAAATAAAACACGCGGCGTAATGTGCGAGAACTCAAGGTTGCTGCTTTGTGGACGTTTTCTGCAATGTGGGCTTAGATGTTGGATATTATGGACGCTGATACGCACACAGCCAGCACGTTTAGTAAAAGCCACCTTGAGTTTAAGTCACTGGTGTATTTCTGTTATATAGGCTACGCAAATTCTCAGTATACTGTGAATATTGTCTTACAACAATATATTTACAATTAAATTGTATTGTATTAAATTGAAGCTTCAACAAATACAAAGGTATCATTTATTTAATTTAATCTTCACACCTCTAGCGGGCTATTTTCTGAATGTTTATTAATTAATTACATTTAATTTCTTTGTTTAATTGTATAATCTCAATCTTCACTACATATATTTAAAGTGTGCTTTCGTGTCTCGGTGTTCTCCACTGCTCGCACCATTTAATTTTAAAAGGAGGAAACCACAAACACCACATTAGGCATATTTTTAGCTCTATTTGAGTGTAACGTTAAACCGAGGCACTGGCTGCTAGCAGGCATTAGAGTTAATTTGTTGATGGTGGTGATGATAGCAACATATAGAGGCCCATACAAGTGATAACGGCGGTGTAAATAATAAGCGGCAGGTTAAGCGAGAAACCGGCAATCCGCCATCAGTATGTTATTTGGAAAATATTTAATAAATATTCGGCTACCGTGGTTCAGTTCAGCAGGTTGATAACAAATCTTTAACCACCTTTATTTAATTTTCTTTGCTCGTTTTAATGGATGTAATTCTATATTTTAATTTCTATGTTTGTGCCCATTTTGTAACACACTTAGTACTTTATATTTCATAACGTCAAAGTCATACGCTATCTAGGAATTGTTATTATTTTATTTGTTACATAGACCAGTGGTTTTACACAGTAATTATAGTCAAACCAACAATAGTCTGAAACTACAACTTAGAAGGTAAATTTGGGAAAAAAATAGTCCTGCTTCTTTTTTCTTTTTGTTAATCTGATTGATTGTTGAAATTTTCAAAATAAAAATATTCCTTACATTTTAAAGTAATATTCTCATGTTTATTGATTTACTTTTCAACTCTAAGATATGTACTACATAGTCCTGCATTATGGTAGTTAAAACGGTGCAGATGTTGAAATGTAGATAATTAGATGTTAGGGATGTAGCGCCAACATACAGGGACGTGAAACGTCCATGTCTAAATCACAAAAAGTGGTTAATGTATAAAAATAAGACCAAATAAGCATTATGCTTATATAATCAGTATGCGTATATGTTTTATATTTTTTAGATGAGCAACTATCTTGTGTGGCTAAATGTTAAACTGAAAATAACAATTTTAGCCTAATATAAGATACACCCCGCATGTATTTTGGTGTATTTGTCAGTTTGGTTTGTAAAATATGTTTGAAACTTGAAGCTGAAAAACAGGAAAATATACACACATTGGAAGATGTCTGACACAGCCGAAAAGGAGCAAAATAAAAAATGAAAAAAGTAATTTCTAGTTGAGGTCTGCATGTTTCAGCTGTGTGCTGCTAAGTTTCTTTAATACAGTGCTGGTTAAAATGTGTTTTGGTGAGCAGCAATGGTAGGGTGCTTACGTGTCCTATAAAGTACCTCGTAAAATAAGGTTTCCAAAAACATATTGTATCGTTTTGGATAACCAAGAAGTGATTTTAACAGCAGTAGTAGGGTAACACACAGTAAAATCACATTTTATTCAGTCATTCATATTTTCTGTCTCACAGATAACAGATCTAACTAATATCTTGATAATTCTTAGCTTTAAAACTAGAGGTTGTTATAGGAGAGCGGGTGAGTATTTAATGACCAAAGGGATTGATTTATCCTTTATTGTTCAGCCTTTATGATCACGTGTGTCTGCTACCCAATAGCATGGCAGCCTGACTCCCCATTACTAGCCCACTGTAGTTCTCTGTGGGGCCAAGTTGCTACTTGATTTCTCCACATTGTTATTTTGCGAGGCTGGGTTTACTGCGTGTGTATGTGTGTGTGGTGTGTGTGTGTGCGCGTTTTACTTTTGCATGTATCTGTTGTATGACTGCGTACATGTGAACGCATAATTTCTCTGCCATGTCGACATCCGGAACACTGACTAGTTACTACGTCGATTCCCTCATTCTGCCCGAGAGCGAGGAGCTCTCTGTGCCGAGATACCCCTCCGGTCCTGGGCTCCAGCACGCTAGACAGTCCGCCTCCATAAGCGACCACAGTGAGCTTGGGACCTGCACCTTCCCGTCCAAACCTCCTGTATTCGGGCCGTCGTGGAGCCACGTTCCTGCCCAGTTCCCAGGCACCGTCTCCTCTGTGTATCATCACCACTATGGGCATCCCCAAGGCCCGGTCGGTGCAGATACAGATGGCCGCTATCAGTCATGGCTGCTGGAGCCCATGTCTGGTTCCCTTCCCATGGCCGGATTACCGACGACCCATCACTACGGAATCAAACCGGAGGGTCTGGGGACGCGAGCTGACGGCGCGCTGCCCGGCTCCCACACGGCGCTGCTGCTCTCTGATTACGCCAACGGGACCGTGGCCACGGCGTCACCGGTGGAAAAGGACACACTGTCCGGCCAGGCAGGGGACGTGAGCGGGGAAGCTGAAGAGAAACCGGGCCTTGATCCAAGTAAGTCGCTGCAGAGTCCGTTATGTTTATAGCCTACTATTTATACCGCATAAAGCTGCGAGGATTGGGGTGCGTGATGGGGGTGCGCGTCTGAACAGATGCCATTCTGAACGTGCCATTTCCTTATGGGGACTGTTAATGGCCCAGCTCCCATTGCTATATTAGATAACCTTTTGCAGCTTTTAAAGTGAACGTGAGCACAGAGAGGAAAAGGGGGAGTTGTGTTTGGGTGCGTACATGTGCAGCCATTTTCTCTTCACAATAAGGGGGGGGTTTGTTTTTGTCTCTCTTTTTTTTCTTTTTTTTTTTGGTCTGAGCCAGATTATGAGTGATGTTTGCTTTCACATTTGGTCACTCGGTACCGGGCCCCTCACACCAGTGTCGCCCCTTCCCCTCCCGCTCTTTCCAGATAACCCAGTGTCCAACTGGCTCCACGCGAGTGCCACGAGAAAAAAGCGCTGTCCGTACACCAAGCACCAGATCCTGGAGCTGGAGAAAGAGTTCCTCTTTAACACCTACCTGACCAGGGACCGTAGGTACGAGGTTGCGAGGCTGTTAAACCTCACCGAGAGACAGGTTAAAATCTGGTTCCAGAACCGCAGGATGAAGATGAAGAAGTTTAATAAAGACGGCGCACCGAAAGACGAGTGACTGAACCGTAGATATACAGTATTTAGGCTGTTAGCGAGCTTTGTGTGTGAAAGCTCTTAACTCTGCTGGACCTTGTTTTTAAACTTCATTGTCTTATTGTTCTATATAACAGAAGCTATTAGGCTTATTTGTCTTGTAAAGAAAAGCATGTTGGGCTTCAGTTTGATGCGACTACCTTTATATTGCACAATTTTAACAGTGCCCACTCGTTTTTGTATTTGTTCTTTTCTCATGTTGATTTTAAATAATACCTCGTTCTGTGTATTAGTTGGCCTGGTCCCTGTGCTTGTTTGTGTATGGATGTTTTTAGCTGTGTGTGTTCTGGTTTGTAGCTATATTTGTTGTCGTATAGTTTGTAAAATGTATTAATTTTATTGTTGTTTCTCCCTTACTGCTAGAACAATGACTGATGACCATGAGTTTGAGTCTAACATTGGAACCGTAGAAAAACAGACTGATCGCATTTTGAAGTAGGCGCATAAACCTCAGAAACCTCTTGAAAATGCTAAAATCCTAAATTAAAAGATGTTATAGAAGTTATATTACATGACACGATTGACTACCTATGTCTTTCAACTACCTACAATAACCTATTTTTTTCAATGGCGGATTATAGTAGATTTGCTTGCATTAGATGCTGAACTATGAATTTCAGGGAGTAACATTTTGAAAGTACATAATGTTTGTTAGTGAGAGAAAATTAAATAAAACACTGTAGCTACTTATTGAATACCTCACGGTCTGCCGACCGTCTGACTTTTGGTTCACAAATGTAATTTGTACTTTATTTATTAAATAAAACAAATTATATCTGCGAATGCAGGCACGTTACTTTCTTATTTCATTTTGGCCTCACATCGAAATGAATTTTGTTTAAAAAAAATAAAATGTATGTTAATTTGTTGCTTCACAAAAAGTCTTTATTGGCAAAAAGGTTGAATTTCAACACACACGCACACGAAAATACATAAAGAAAAATCCAAAGATATTTGGATACTTGAGCCTAGTCCACATCAACAATTTTTTTACACATTTTTTATAAATATCAAGCATTTTAATCTGCAGAGTGCACACTCTCTCACACACACGCACTCATTTACACACACACACTCATTTACACACA